ATGATTAGTTTTAACATTTAAAGTGAGTTTTCAATCCCAAAAAATGTTAGCGTCCAGGCTGGACGGTGATTTCCAGCCTCCAGCAGAAGCAATGTCACGTGTAAAAAGGTAAATGAAAATGCTAATCGAGGAAAATTGAAATACAGGTGCTTAATCACAAAAAACGATAACTAATGAATGCATCTTCAATATGTGATATAGTTGTGACATCCAAACGTACTGGTAAACGAAAAAATGCCTGCGATTGCAGTTAGACGACGTGAATTATTTTCGATCAAAGCGGGTTTTGAGACTGCCAGTAAGTCATGATTGGGAAAAAGAATAAAAATAATAATGTGAAAAATAAGGATAAGAACAAGAATAAGACTGATAATTATAATTAGAATAAGATTAATAATAATATTGATGTGAACACTATCACTTCGTATGTAAGTACGTGATGAACAGATTCGTAGGCCAAATTTAGCAGAGGACGTCGGCTGAATCGCGCTGTACTACAGCCGTTTGGCTTTACTACAACGTTCAGGTTTATGAAGTCCACGAGGCATTCTCCAATGTTTCAGGCGAAAAAGGGCCGAGCTTATGTTCGTCATGCCGCATGACGAGCATCGCCAGAGCTGGGATTCATTCTTGCTAAAGCCTCAGGTTAACCTTAAGTCGTCTTGACTTTTGCAGGAATGAGTCCCAGCTTTGAAGATGTTCGTCAGGTGACAGGACGGACGAGAGCTCAGCCAGTTTTCGCATAAATTGTCGGAGGACGCCTCGTGGACTGCATCAACTGGAACGTCGAAGTAAAGCATTACTGCAGCGGCAAAACGGGAAGCATCCGTCATCTTCTGGTGAGGTCGACCGTCGAATACCTTCTCCATGCACTTTCATACGAAATGAAAGTATTCACGACACTCTACTCTCGGCTGATTTTTCGAAACCCGCAGTTTCTTGGTAAACAATTAATACTTAGAAGTGGGTTGACCTCGTTGTCGCAACTTGGTCTTGTTCTCAGGGAGACTATGTAGTTGACATGATTTCCAGCATCTGTCAGGGGACTTGATACATTCTCAGACGTTTCGCCGGCCTCGTAGTCGGCATCATCAGTGAGCCTTGCCATTTTCAGCACCAAGATACGAACTCGTCAAACAGACAAGTGAAGTCAATCCCTCGACAAACCGTTCTGCTGGAAACGGTTACATTATCACTCCTCTTTCTACCTTTGTCTATCTATCTACTCTTTACCCTCTTATCCCACTGCCGTCCTATCACAACTTCTCATTTCAATCATC